AAACCCCTTTTGTCTCATTCATCACCCGTAGTACATCAAACCCCTTTCCAACTTCCCCCTTTCGCTGCCCCTGCTTCTCCCCCGAGCCTTGCCATCCCAAGCGCCCTTTGGTTGATCCTTCTTCCATCCTTTGCCAACCAGGCCCCTTTTCCGGCTTCCGTCACCCTTAATGCCTCTTCCACTTGGCTCTTCGATCCATGCAATCCACGTCTCTCGTCATTCTTTCCTCAATCTTATGCTCAGCCAAATTCACATGTATTTTTCCCATGCCATTTTGCCCGGTTTTCTCTAGCCCTGCCAATTTCGCATGCATGTCACCCTTATTCGTCCTTTCTTGTACCCAAGCTTACTTAATTTCAAATGCACGTTACTTAGTCTGTCTCATACGCATCTTTCTTCTGGACATCTTGCCAGGCCTTTCTCAAACTCATGCAAAGTTAATTACACATATATCTCTTTTCTGGACGTCTTACCAGGCCTTTCCTTAAGCCTACGCAAAACCAATTACACATGCCTTTCTTTTCTGGACGTCTTGCCAGACCTTTTCTCAAGCCTACACAGAGTCAATTACTCATCCATTTCTCTTCTTGACATCTTGCGAGGCTTTTTCCCAAACCCACGCAAAGTCAATTACTCATTCATTTCTCTTCTGGACATCTTGCCAGACCTTTTCTCAAGCCCATGCAAAGTCAATTACTCATCCATTTCTCTTTTGGACATCTTGCCAGACCTTTTCTCAAGCCCATGCAAAGTCAATTACTCATCCATTTCTCTTCTGGACATCTTGCCAAACTTTTTTTCAAGCCCATGCAAAGTCAATTACTCATCCATCTCTCTTCTGGACATCTTGCCAGGCCTTTTCTCAAGCCCACGCAAAGTCAATTACTCATCCATTTCTCTTCTTGACATCTTGCCAGACCTTCCCTCAAGCCTGCGCAAAGTCAATTACTCATTCATTTCTCTTCTGGACATCTTCCTCAAGCCTGCGCAAAGTCAATTACTCGTTCATTTCTCTTTTGGACATGGTATCTTTATCTTTTGCACGCCTTTTCATCGGTAGATGGCACACCTTCCCCCCACTCAAAATGCGATGTCCCCATCGCACGACTGGTTCTCACTCGGAGGAACGCAGAGCTTGGCCCACCAACTTAGTCAAGAACAACGACCCACCTGCTCCTAGAAGGAAGGGTGATCAGTCCTTCCTCGGCAGGTAACACCTCATCCTTCTACTTAGTCCGATCTTTTGCCGATTACGAGACGGGCGTCATCACTGAGGTACCACCTCACATCTGGCAGGTAGGTCCAGTCCAAACCTCCCAGGACCCTGTCTTGCCGTAAAGGCCTTCTTGCAAATCGTTCCTCCCGAGTGGCGTTTTCTTGGATCCGGCCTCTTCCTTTCAAGAGAGTTGGGGCTCTCAATTTGTTTGCGAGTGCAGTTACGAAGACCTCACGATTAGTCCCGGAACGATTGTAATGATCCGGCAGGACGGTGTCACTCGCCCTGTGGTGGTTGCGGCTTCCACCCGGTACCACGTGTGACCCCTCCCTCTGGACAGTGCCGCTCAACTTAATGCGAGCAACCTCGGTCCATCCCAAACGGCCACGCCGCCCCTCTACGGCATAGCGTGTGGTTGGGGAGAAAAAACGAGACCTAGAAAAAGAATGGCTCTCTCGCCCGTTTGGCTCCACGCCCTTGACGTTTAGGTTCTCAACATGAGGCGCAGTTCGAACTCCCCGACTAGAGCTCGTTGTCGGAGTTAATTCCGGACGGCCAGCATCAATCAAAGAGAACGATGCCATGGTCCTTCAACCCTTATTTTCCCTTATGAGGAATAGGTTGCGTTGAGACTTTTCCCTTGACGGGTAGAGGTCTTGGGGTTGCAATGCATGCATCGCTTTCCCCCTCATGTCGAGACCTAATACGAGAAAAAAAGAAAAACTTAATCTCTTGCTATTTCCATGGTCGGCCCGACGACCTTACATCAAATTGCCTAGGGTCCCCTGACTATGCAATGCAATATCCAATTCTCAAACACTCGATCCAATGCTATTTCCAAGGCTGATTCTCATGGCTGGTCCGACAACCTCTCATCAACAAGGCCACCCCTTGTGGCCGCTCTGGCGGTCGCTTTCTTAATAGCCATCTTTTCAAGGGCCGACCCGTCGGCCCACCTTCAATCCTCAACTTTCACATTCCCCAATATCCATTCCTTATGACCGTCCCAATGGTCTAAGCCCTTCTTGACTTAAGGCTCAACCTTCTTTATCCTGCCCTTCTCATTCTCTTTCATCCATCCTCTTGGCTATTTCAATGACCGACCCATCGGCCTTTTCCATCTCTCATTGCTCATTCCAACTCATTCTTAATCAACCTTTCTCAATCAATTATGCAGGGGACCCCAGTGCCTATTTCAAAAGAAATGACCCTTGTCTGGGGCCATTCCCGAACAACCTGGTTAGGGTCGTTCTTTTCCATTCTCAAGTCGAACAGCCTGGTTAGGGTCATTCTTTTCCATTCTCAAGTCGAACAGCCTGGTTAGGGTCATTCCTTTCCATTCTCAAGTCGAACAGCCTGGTTAGGGTCATTCCTTTCCATTCTCAAGTCGAACAGCCTAGTTAGGGTCATTCCTTTCCATTCTCAAGTCGAACAGCTTGGTTCGGGTCATTCCTTTCCATTCTCAATGTTAGTGCCCGAGAGGGTGGGCCTCGAGGACACGGATCCCATTTCTGTCTCAGAGGTTAAAAGGAGGCCACCTCTTTTCAGTTTTTTGTGTGCGGTTCCCCTCATGCATCCTCAAAGCAATGTACTATCCATGCATACATTCGACTTAGCATCTAGTACTCGAGTTGGGGCTCGCGACCCCAAGCAGCACTAGCCAACCCGGCCGTTCAACCATAGCAAAAGACAGGGGCGCCCCCTCTTATTTTCACTCGTTCTGACGACTCAGATCTCGGTTATTCTCAGACTCATTCATGACTCAGTTGGATTAGGCTCCTAGCGAAGGAATGTTCTTCACGCCTCTTAACCCATAAGTTCCCTAACCTCTCTTGTACTCGACCAACATTCAATGCCTTGCTTTGCTCGTCGATCTGTACTCAAAGTTTCTTTTCTCAAAAGCACAATCCTTATTTCATTAAAAATTCACAATACACCCTTCCCAACTGGTTTCATCCCATGCCCCATGTCATCGTCTTGTGTACCCACTTTCGAAGGTAGCTCATCCAAAAAGCAGTATAAAAAAATCTATCTTCTAAACTTATCATGACACAGTCTTAGCTGACCCTCTTATCACTCTTGTCGTTCCAATGTTTTGCAAATGATCAAGCAGGATTCTTGTTCAATACTTGATCAACATCTAATCCCTATTGTTGCCATGTGCCTCAACTTGCTCGGCCCCTTGTCCATCCCGTCTTTCTGCTTACTCTTTAACCCCCAGACCGGAGACCATGATTCCTCTTTTTCTCCTTGCAATTTCTCGTAACTCCATCTCGTTGTAGAAATCCAATGGTGTGGTCATCGAGTTCCCGGACCTTGATAATCCACTCATGTTTGATCACACAGAGCCATTATTGAAACCAGTGGTTGGGCGTTGGCCCAAACTCATCCTCCCATCTGAATGCTCCCTCGCGCGGCTGGTGTATCGGGGGCCGCCTCTCTTCTCTAGGCCTCGAGATTTCATCCCTCTCATCCCCACTGCCGATTTTTATGACCTCCTGCAGTTCCTCCTCCTCGTTCTCTTTTTTTTCCGTCTGTATGGGGTTGTACCCGCCTGTCAAGTTCTTTGGGTCGTAGCTATAGTGAATCTCTATCCTCTCCCCATATCCTTCTCCAACGTCCGGATACCTCCCCTCACAACTGTCGTGGCCGCTTCGTCCTTCAAGCGGGCTTTCCCTTCTCTCCTCCCCATCCTCACGCTCGTTACGCATGTCCTGTCTCCCTTAGCTTTCCCTATGCCAAGACTCACGTTGTTCGCACCTCTTGGCTCTCTTCTCATCAGAGGCCTGAGCCTTGTCTCCCATATCCGCATTGCCCCCTTCTCCCACACTTACCCTTTCCTCCTCGCTCTCACTCCCAGATGAGATATGTATACCTTCTCCTTTCCGGAGGGACGAGGATCTTCTACATACGCACTTTCTTGCACCCCTGCCTACGACTGGCCCGGATATGAGCCCTATGTACAACTTTCTCTTTGCCATCCTCCTCCCTCGACTCGGTCCCGCTTCTTCCCCTCCGGTAGGCCTGTTGATCGCCCCGCTGTCATTCTCGTTGTCAAATTCCATTTTTACTTTTTCTTGTGTTTTTTCTTTTAGGTCCTGTATAGCAATACAACACCCGCAAAACCCCTCATACACCCGTTTCCCCAGTCCGGTAGGCAGCTCCCCTTCCCCAGAATGCTCCCAGTATCCTTCGCATCATGCCACTATTATACATTTCCCTCCCTTATGCAAATGCCCCGTTTGAGATGATCTCATCATTTCCCCGTCAAAAAACTATGATACAATGCTCCCGAAAATCCTTCTCTCTGTCACACAAACCCGTTACCGCAAACTCTCAAGTCATCCTGCCTTCCAACCTCAGTCAGTCCAAACCATTGCCCCAGCCCCCAAAAAATGACAGTCCCACGGACGCAGTCAGAGACAGAATCATAGTGTGGGCAAGGCTACCCTTTGTTGATACAGGCATGACCGCAAGGTCGAGGTGGACCAAATGTCCCGGTCCTAGCACCCGCGTTGGTCTAAGCGGCTCGAAGACACGTGCCGAGCTCCGCTCCTGGAAGATTAGGCAGGTCTGGCAGTACGTGGCGACCATGCCTGCCATGCCTGGCCAATAGTAGAGTGGCCTTATCTTCGCAAGAGTTCATTTGGACGATCGATGCCCTCCTGCTAATCCGTCGTGCATTGCCTGGATAACGTCTAACTGCCTAGATCTCCCGCACACGACTCTTTTAGGCATAGCACCTTCCTCTCTCCAGACTAGATGGCCGCCCCTTAGGACGTACCTTTCGGCCTCCTCCCTTGCTTTAATGCTGATTTCCATGGGTTGTTTGTTTCCTACCAGCAACAACCCGATCTCCCGAAAGATCCCTTCGTTTATCTGGGCATAGAAAAACTCCTTCCCTTCCTGGTCCTCATCCTTTCTCTCCTGCATCTGGTTTACCATCCATCGCAACTCTTTCCTTTCCCAAGATTCCACTAAGCTTATCACGGCTTCCTGGCCTCCCTTAATCGCCATTGCTATTAGTTCCTCCTTCGGTCCTACTATCGCTCCCCACAAATCTTTCTCCTCTTTGCGACCTCGAGTGGTGACTGGTCCTCCTGTAAGTTCTGCTACCACGGCAGGTGCCCCCTTCTCCAAAGTCCGGATCAACAACTCTTCCGACGTGCATTCTTCGCCCATCATTTCGTTATCCACCGCAAGAGTTCCTCCTTCGTACTCGAGGCATGCGTCTATCGGCTCCGCATCCTCCACCCCTTCGGGAGTGATGCAGACCCGGTTCAGCCCATCGGCCTTGTTTCTGATTCCCGCAATCCGTTCGATTTTATAATCGAACTGCTAGATAAATCCTACCCATTTCCCCACCGTCAGATCTATAGGCCTGTAATTCTTTAAGGCCCCTGCAACATTCGTCGGGTCGATCCTAAGGATGAACCGCCTCCCAAATAGGTGGGCCTTGAAGGTCTTGAGGTAATGTAAAATGGTTATGACCTCCTTCTTGAACTGTGAGTACCGCCGTCCTGCAGAGTTCAGGGTTCTACTTTCGAACCTAATTGGCCTCTCTTTCCCTTCCTTGTCCCTTTGAATCAACACGCCTCCTACGGCCAAGGGTCCTCCATCCGTTTCTAGGATGAAGGGTCGTCCCACTTCGTCATTAAAACAGGGTGCGGACAAGGCGACTTGCTCCGATGTCAGTATGTCCTCGAGGGTTTGGACGGCTCCTTCTCGCTCTTCCGTCCAATCCATGGTCCCTTCTTCTCTAATCATGACTCGGATAGGCTCAACAATCTTGGCAAAATTTTTAATGAAGATCCTCCAAAAGTCGACCACGCCTAGGAATGCTCTTACCTCCGTCGTCGTGCGCAGGGGTGTTGGCCACTGTGATATCTTGTCGGTCTTTGTCGGATCTGGCTCCCTACCGTAAGCACCGCAGCGAAATCCTAGTATGGTTACTTCCGGTACTGCTAGAATACTCTTTGGTCCGCTAGCCGTAATGTTGTATACTAGGAACCGGCGGAGTAAGTCCTTGATGTCCTATAGATGGTCTCATACAAATCTTCGGATTCCTGGTTGGACTTTCGTCTCGTCCTTCTCTTGCGCTCCTTTGATCGGGTTGTCATCGATGTAGAGCTCACACTTCTCTGGGAACATGTCCCCGACTACGGCGAGCATTCTCTGTTGCGCTTCGGCTACCACGTTTGTGAAGCCCATAGGGGTTACCTGCATCTGTAACTGGCCTACGGGGGTGTGCATTGCGGTGTATGGCCTGTTCCGAACATCCAATGGAAGCTGGTCGTACCCTGAGTACAGATCGATCAGGGAGTAAATGCTTCGGTCGGCGTGCGACTCTGCTAATAAATCGGCCTGAGGCAGTGAGCCAGCATCCCGGATGGTTACCGCATTCAACTTCTGCATATCCTGAATCCACCTCAACGTCTTGTTGGGCTTCCTTAAGATGAACCATCGGTTTGCGTATGCCGACGCCGTAGGTTCTACGACGAAGGAGTCCATCTTTGGTCGAAGAAGGTCTGTCACTTCCCCTGCTATCCCAAGTTCATAGGCCGGACCCTTGTCATTCCAACACTCATGCTTTACCGTGTGTTTCTGACCGAAGGACCGGACCCTTGTCATTCCAACACTCATGCTCTACCGTGTGGATTCTGACCAAAGGAATTAGCTTCGCGTCCAACCGCCCGTTTTGGTGGTCACTAAAGGAAAATGCCAGGTGAAACTCCTGGCAGATCCTTTTGATCAGGAGGGTTTCTTCCTCCGTTAAGAATCCCTCTACCCCTATCTTCATTGTATCAGCTACCTCAGCTGGTATCCGATGCCCTTTCGTTGCTCGTCTCTCTCGGATCACCCGGAGGACTTCCGCCTCCTTTTCCATAGCCTCTTCCTTTGACGTCTCTAGCAGGATCAAGACCGGTTTTGCTTTCTTTCCTACCGGCTTATATTTTCGAATACTTCCTTCCGGGATCTTTCTCCTAAAAAATGAACGGTCGGGATTGCCCTCGCCACTTCTACGATTCATGGTTGAATACTGACTAATTTTCCATTTAGACAATATCCTTTTTGCACTTCTCCTTCGAATTTGGCCAATGCAACCGAGTCAACTCCTACGTTGTGGTATCTGATGGCCTTGATGAGCTGTAGCAAATCGGGAATCTCGAGTGCGACTTTTGGTACGTCCACGCGCACTTCTTTCCGTTTGGGCAGGCTGGCCCCGAGTTCGACTTCCAATTCCTTTTCTGCCACCATAACACCTAAGACTTCGTCCTCCTGCCTTCTCTTCTTCTGGGGCAGGCCCATCTTGATCCATTCCTTCTTATTGAATGCCTCTCGATCATGATTTCTACCCTTTCTCTCATGCCCTCCATCCGCGCAAAAGCCCCCTTTCGTGCGCTATCCTCGAACGACGACGACCACGTGGCTAACTTCCCCTTCGGAGGGTCTCCTCCCATCCCTAGAAGTCGGAGGAGCTCTCCCCGGCCGGTCACTGGTCCTCTATGTCTACCATGTACGTGCCATCGTGCAAGTGCATGCCTATCATTTCCACGTTTGCGCACCACGGTCTCCCGAGGATTATATCGTGGTCCATTTCCTCCATTATTGTCATCCGTTGGAACGACCAGATCGACTCCCTGACTCCTGCCTTGACTGCGCATTTCGTGACATACCCAGCGAACAGGATTTCCCCACCGGCTCCCCGGATGCTCCCTGTTACTTCCTTATTTATCGTACAGCCCGTGATTGTTGCAAAATTCCTCCTTATGAGAGTGATTTCCGCTCCCCCGTCTACTAATGCGTCGGTATGATGAGTCCCGATCTGGATTTTCAACTTCCCTACGGGTAGCGCATGGAAGTTGAGCTTTGTCCCGTGAGGTGCCCTCATGACCTCGCCACCTTCTCGGTCTGGCAAGCTCAGGCGGATGTCCGCAAAAGGCTTTCTTGAGATCCTCCAAATCCCCGCGACTCCTTTGAAGGTTAGCGACTTCTTGCGGAGCTTCCTCCTCTCCTTCCCCTTCCGATGATTCGGGGTTTTTGTCTATCTCTACTCACCGTTGAGTCAACAGTTGTCTAAGCCCTTTGAGCAACCTAGGGCTGGCTTGCAGCATGGTCTGAAACGACACCGACACCATGGTTCCTAGTAGTTTGCTAAGGGTGTCATCGATCTCAGGCCTGGTTAAAATCGGGATTTGGTACCTAAACTTCTTTTTAGCGGCGGTAACTTTGTCCGTAGGCTCCTCTTTTCTAGGTTTCCCATAGACTTTCTTTAGTTCTCCAGCCTCAGGCTCTGCCTGGGGTACGGAGCTTCCAGCAACCTCCTCCATCACGGTGTCATGGATAATCCTTCTCCCAGCCGTCCCTAGCCGAGTAGTCGGGTTCACCCTATCACGTCCATCATTTTCCAAAATGAAGTTGACCTCCGGCCCGTGGCCCCGAAGTTGATCCCAGATGATGTCGACCACCGGCTCAGCTTCTACAGCCGCTATCTCTAGCCCATTGAGCATGATAATGGCTCGCCTCATCCCCCCTGGCGAGTTCCAATTCACACGTTCTCCCTGTGGTCCGAATATCTCTCCCTTTAATGACCTGGTGCATCTCCTTTTTAATATATCATTGTTGAGTTTTGGACATGCGCGCACATAATGTCCCATCGCGGTGCAGTACTTGCATTGCTCGTTAGCAGGATCTCTCCGTCTGAATCCCCGATTGGCTACACCTGGCGGAACTACGGCTTCCTGGGGAGGGAGGGCGGGTCGGGATACTTGCGCCTGCATAACCAGTGGCGCGTTCTCCACCCTTTCAATCTTGTTGCCGACTCCGTGCACCCGTTCATGTAGACTTTCAATCCCCTTCTTTACCTTGTCGCCTGTCCTACCAGTCAGATGTATGACTTCCCCTTCCTTAAGCAAGACCAATGTCTCAGTCACTACTGTCTTCTCGGCCAGATCCGTTACTGTGCTAAAATCAACATCCCTGGTATTTGCAAACTTCCTCGTTTGTTGGTAAGCCGACATAATCTTGTCCTTGTCGAACTCGGAGAAATGCCTGAGGAAGTACTTACTCATTATCTGATCCGTAACCCCGGGGATCCTTAGGGCTACCAGGGTAAACTCCCGTAGGAAGTCATCGTACGTTGCGAAGTTCTTTCTCTGGACTGCCGCTAAATCGGCCTCCGTTGCCATCTTCTCCGCTGCCAGGTATTTCCTCATCATTACATCTCGGGTTTCCTTTCATGATCGACTCGTGGTTACGATGGCCATTATGTCCCGCCCCAAACTCAAAGACACATGCTGCCCCAGGTGGTTCATCTTTTCTTCTTCGGTCCATTTCAACAGCGCGGCCAGATTCTTGTAATCTATCAGGAATTTCGTGATGTTCGCCCCGTTAAACGTCAACTTTTTCTTAGCGTCCGCTAGGTAGCCTTGATTTTTGTTCAGTGCTCGTGCGAGGAACGATACTATCTTCCTAAGGCCGCCTTCGGAGCTACTGGCCTCGTCCGCCATACTGGTATCCGGTCCTTCCTTGCCGGCCTTCTGCCCCTCCCTAGTCTTTGCGGTTCCTTCCGGGTCGAACCATCCCAACACCCTTTCCATAAGGCTCCAGAGTCCCTCACATCCACGCGTTACCGCTGGCATGGTCGGCAGACGGTTAGCCGTACTGTTTATGGTTGGAGGGTTCGTAACTTTCTCTGCCTCCATCCCCGGGGAGTTCTCTCTCTCTTTCCTTCTTTTGCTCGGTGTTCCCCCACGGTCACTACCCTTATCTCCTTGTCCGATTCCGCCTCGGCCGGCCCTCTGTTCGTCCCGCGGTTCTTCCTGCAGAGGGCCTTCTTCGTTCCCAGTAATCATTTCCTCGATCAATCTTGCCTTGTACTCCGTGGTCCTTTTTTCTATCTCCGCTAGTTTGCGCCTCGCATCCGTGACCCTCACTTTCTTAGACACAGCCCCTTCTGAATTATGGGGGTTTGTCCTATCCTTATTTTTGCCTTCCTTGGTCTCCTGAATCCCTTGCCTGCATCCCCCGACTTTCCCCGAGTTTTCCCCCGATGAGATTTCCTTCCGGTTCCCTTTGGTACCATCCGGATTTATCTATTCTCTGTCTTTCTTACCCTCTTCGCTCTGCACGGCACTGCCTCCTAACCCTGGCCCTCCTTCGCTCCTACGATTATCCGTCTCATCCTTCGTTGCCATTTTGCCTAGTCCTGCATAAACCAAAGGATTTCCCAGGACACACGCAACACGAGGCATTTAGGTTTCATAGGTTCCGATTTCGTTGGCTTATCTTTATCCGGGTAGTAGCCTTCTTTTCCGTTCCCCGATTGCTCCCTAAAAAAGGGAGTTGCGGCCTGCCCTGCCGCCCTACCGAGCTAAGGGACACGACTTAGTTCCCCTTATCACAGGCTTGTTTAGAGTGCCCCTGTTCCGTCGGGCCGGCACGTAGGAGTCCTGGTAGGCATCCCGCTAAGGAAAGTTTTCCCGAGCAGTATCCCCTTTTTCGACCTCCAGGGTCATGGCAACCATTAGGAGTCTACCCTCCCCCCTTTATTCTCTAGCAATTTTTTATCGTCTGGGTCCGAGGTGCTTCCTTATTTGCATCGGTAAGCCCCTGTACGCAGCGGACTATACTTGATTTGCCCTATTGGCCCGCCCCCGGGTGCTAGTCCCGTTCTCGCCCTCGTGGCCCTTCCGGCTCGGTAGGCTCCTCGAATAGTTGATCCACCCCCGCCAGATAACTCTCTCTTATCTCGATTTCCTCTGGATTATGTGTCGTATTCCGCCCAGGCTAGCCGTGGCAACCCAAATATCAAGATATGGATAACTTTCAGTAATTCATGGGCCCTGTTTCCCCAAAACGGCCCATGTTCTACAGCAACGTCATAGAACATCCCAATGGTCTGGTAGGGGAAGTGATCTACCCAGATTATTGCCGAGTCTACCAGCTTCTGCGCCCTCGCGAGGCTCCCGAAGATGAGGTCTATCATAAATCGGGGGACCCGGCACCTCAGCGGTGTGGTTGGTGCCCTGAATTCCCTCCAACCTCCCATTTCCACCCTGGTTAGTAAGTCCACATTTCTTCTACCCCTAACGGATTACCCTATCTGTGTCAACACCCGGGCCGCCCTTTGAAAGACAGGAGCCAGCTCGTGGCCTTGCGCTATTCCTATCCCCAGCAAGTGCTAGCCAGCCTCGGGTAGGTATAGGACCCCGGTTACCTCCAGATTGGAAAACAGGTCATCCCTAGGCCCCCGGTTAAGTCTCATCCCTGTCCACCGACATTCCACCAACATGAAGGCGCCGTCTCTCCCTAGAGTCACGGCTCGCCATTCCACGTCGAATCCCCGAAAGTTGGAATTTGACGGGAGGGACACTTCTCATCGCCCGCCGCTATTCCAGCGCGGTCCGGGGTACCGGGGCTGGCGTTCCATTCGCACACGTTTTGCTGCCATTGTTGTTTTGGCGATTCCCTACATAGTCCACATAGAAAGGACAACCGATCCTCAGCAAACGTCCACCTACTGCCCCCTTACCCTTTATGTTCTCATTCTTTTTCTCTGGTTCCAACAATCCCTCCATATTCCCAAGAGCAGCAACCTCCGTCGACTGCTCGTACAGTCGGTATAGGTCATCTATGTAGGTCGCGCCCCGACCTACTTCCCGCCTGATGGCTCCCCATATGGCCTCATCACTTATTTGCGGAATCCCCGACCTAGTATTTATTGTTGCCCGTAGTATGCATAACACCTCGTGCCCTTGTTCATCTCCAAAAGGTCCCATATCTAGGAAGGCCCGGTAGTATTCCCGATACATTAATGCTTCATTAAAATTTAGCCTAGTTATGGCAGCTACCGCCTGCTCCACTCGCTCTACGCCTCCCATTCGTCTTAGTAAAAAGGGTGGTAGACTCATTCGTATGACCTCATTCGGTAACCGAAAGACCCCTGCCGCGGCGACTTTTACCTCAGCCGTCACGTCATCTCGTTCTGGATCCGCGAACTCAAACCCCTCCCGCCAGGTTATTTGCCATGCTCCTTCGAACATTCGCACGGGGTCATCCCCGGAAGCCAAGGCAATCCCAAAGGTCCGTCATCCTTCTTCCGACAGGTGTAAGGATCTTGTCGCATGTACGCGCTCTGGGAGGTCCAAATTTACGCCCCCGAACTCCCCTCTCGCACACCATTCCAGCTCTACTACTAGGTACACCGTGTCTTCCACCAGCTCTATCCCCACCCAGTCCATTACCGGGTTACTTACCACATTTCTTGCTGGCAGGCTTATTTCGACCCTGCCCCCTGATTCTCTTGGTGGCAGGATTCCGCGAGGCCTATCCTCCCAGAATGTTATTCGTCGGGCCATCTTGCAACGTCTCTTTTCCTGCTCCCTTACTTCGATCGCTGCACCCACCGAGATTCCGCGCCTTTCTAGTTTTAGTCTTTCCGCACTCCTTACCTACCGTACGCTGGTTCTTGCCGCTGTCCCTGCCCCATACACGTATGAATCTTTTCCCTTTTTCCGGTTGTTGATACTGCCCCCTCTTGTTTCGACCCCCTCTCACCCCCTGCTAAACTGAGGTACACGCCCCTTTCTTATGTTACGCCCTAATTCACATGCATTCTCCATACTCCAACCTCCCCGCGGCGTTCAATTTCTTGGTTCTTTTTAATCGAACCACAGTACCTCAAACAATTTAAGGACATCATCCACGTAGGATGGGGCGGCCACCGCCTCCCGGCTGACTATGGCGTCCCAAGTCCTTTTTTCTACCTCTAGGCGGTCGTACTTGCCTATCCTCAGGACGGTGAGGACTTCACTGGCTTTATCTCCGTAGAAGGACCCATATTTTAAGGAGATCCTATAAAATTCCTCAGTCAGCCAGACACATTCTATGTGTACTTCCTTCATGGAGTCAGCCACGTCTACGATGTGCTTGAAACCCCCAAACCACTCGGCCACGAACTCGAGCCACGCCGTTGTTCGTAGGCTGGGAGGCTTGAGTTCCTTCCATCCCCCCATCACAACTCTGCTACTAACTTCGTCCCATCCCTCGTTGGCGAACCTCTTGCCTTCTTTTTGGGTTCGCGCCTCTGCATCCCTTAGGAGCCACATTGGATCTTGTCTCATTGCTAACATAGAGCAAAATAGGCGTCGCCCGTCTTCGGAAAGAACGACCGTCCCGACGGATTCCACTTTGCCTTCCGCTTTCTCATCCCAGCCTTCCTCTTCCCTTACCGGGTCTCAAATCCGCTCTATCCATACATAAGATAACTCCGGGGCAACCTCAAACCCAACCCAGTCGCACGTGGTCCCCCTCCACTCGTTTTCTGCCGGTATAGGCATTTCTATTCCTCCTCCGAGTCGTCTTGGTTCCCATCCCTTGAAGATGTATTCCATCATCATTTCCTCTCTAGTCATCTTTTCTCTTCCTGCACAATACCAGGTCACCCGTTCCCCCTAAGTAAGTCACCCTTCTTAGAAATCCCTGTCGTCTATCTCGTCATCCTCGTCCTCATCACTGACGTCGTCCTCTTCGTTGTAGAACAACTCTCTCACCCCTTCCAGAAATGTCTTCCCTATTGCCACATTTCTATAGACTATCCCCCAATGCACGGAGCTAGGGACAAAGACATTGTCTACGCTAAGGCAGTTTAGCATCTCAGCCAGCTCCTCCGCCCAATTCCCTTCAAACGGCCCCATCTCTACTGACAACCGAAAGAAGTCTTGCCTAGTGCACTGGTATAGTCCGACGTTCGTCATGGACTGGCATATCCGTACTAGCCTGCTTCGGGTTCCGAAGACCACATCCACCAGAAAGGGAGGCAATACACATCGCATGGTTCTGACGGGTCGCCTCATGCTTCCCTTATCCCCAAGTTTCACCGGCACATCTACCCTTTCCACTTCCATTTCCCTCCGCTGACACGCAACCCATACAACCTTCACTTTTGCCTTCCTAAATAACTCGTCCGGCGTACTCCCGAGTGCCAAGTCTATGACCATAGCATTCTCTCTGTCTTGTGACAAGTAGACCCACCCCCGGGCTTCCACTGTCCTCGGAGCTCCAAATCCATTAAGCTTGGCGACAACCTTGTCAAGCTGACATTAGCCCATATCGTCTCTATCCACAGGAACGCGTCCTCCCCTTCCAGCATTACGGTTTGATATGCTGGCTCAAGATCTGCCCACGTCCCATCTTCCGAGAGGACGACCGATACCCCATCCCTTACATCTACTGGCATTTCCGGACCGTTGGTATAGATCGGGGAAGACAACCACCGCGCCATCTTGTTTCCAGCACCTGACCCTTGTTTCCATAAGAGACTACCAAACGGTCCTTCTGGTCAGGTCAACCCTCGTCCTAGATGAGAATTATTTCAGACCCCTCATCAAGGTCTCCCTAATTTACCTCCCCATTCCTAAATACCTCCTTCCCATAATACCCTCGATCGGCTATCCATTTCCTCACATTCTTTCTCTTGGTTCCATTCTAACTGACCTCTATCATCCTTCCTTCCGATCATCTCTCACTCGTGTAGACTTAAGCGGAAGGGGGAATAAACATAGAAATATGCTCGTTCAACAATCCAAGCTCACTCAATCTTTACAGAGGGGGAACACATTAAAAAAATCAGGCAATCTCACATATGGGTCGGTCATCTCCTCACCGGCCTTTTCCCAATATGGTCTCTCCGCTGGTACTATCGGTAGAGTTTTATCCCATACCTCAAACGCAGCTCAACCGTCACAAGCACGGTACCAAAGCTTCGGCAAGGCGTTGACCCTTTCCTTTTGCCCAGAATACCCCATCCCGTCTTCCCGCTCTTGCACATCCATACCGACAACGAGGGTTACCCCGTGTGCCTAAATATAGGGACAAAAGTCGGTCGTCCGGGCATTCACTTCCATCGGTCCGACAAGAATCAGCCTTTCCCAAACCATGCTACGAGAAGCTACTAATCGTCTCCGAGGTTCCTTCTTTGTCCGCATGCAGTGATACTCCCCCCGCCAGCCAACAGGCTAAGCCCCGCCTGAGGAGACATTTTGCACCCCGCCCGGGCAAGATTATCGAGCCAAGCTCGTGACCGCCCGGACAAGAATGCTACTAATCAACCGGCGTGACAAACTCCCGTCCGACAGCTCGGTGGACTGACCTCCACACACGAACACCCGGCAACCTCAAAAGAGAGCGACGTTTCGCAACCCACAC